TGTTTTTTCTATTTTGCTGAATATCATTTCTTAGAAAGGCAATTTTTATTGGATGTGTACTTGTGACCGGCACTATACTTGTCAAATTCAAAAACAAGAGGATAAGGATACTAGAACCTGTTTTGAAAAAATTGGATTTAAAAAATTTTTTCAAAGACATATTCAAATTATTAATTTTGATAATGATGAATTGGATTTATTTTTAAAAGCACAACTATTAATAATGGAAATAGAAAATAAAAATTATAAAGAATCTTCTGAAAAGATCCCTCAAAGAATAAATTTTAGATATTGTTTTAACTCAACATATTCTCTTTGTAAAACTGCATTTTTAAAGTTATATAATATAAGTAATCATAAATTTAATAATATTTTAGATCATTTATATAATGAAGGAATAAGTAAACAAATTCATGGAAATACTGGAAGAGCTCCTATATTTAAAACCAAAGTTAATATTGATGAAAATTTAAAATCCATTGTGAATAATTTTTTAAATGAATACTCTTTAATACATGGATTACCTTCACCAATGAGACATAGAAATGATTCTGGTACATTTATTTATCTTTCAACAGATAAAAATTTTAAGTCTGTATATAATGAATTCAATGAATTTTATTCCAAAAATATTTTAAATGATGAGTCAGTAAATGACTCTGAAAAAATTATTCATTATATATCCTTTAGAAGGTTATGGAATGAACTGATGCCTAATTTAAAATTTCAACCTCCTGCAAGTGATTTGTGTGATAATTGTGTCCAATTTAAATCAAAATTGCAATTAGCAAAAAGAAATATTGATGAATATGATGAAATCAAAGCTCAATTTAATGAACAGTTTGAAAATTTAAAAGAAAATATGGCAAAAATTCTCAATGCTTACCTTAAGGAAGAGCAACAAGAAGAAAAAAACAATTGAGATTATTGGCACAAAGAAGATTTAAAAGAGTTAATAAATGAAAATGAAGATAAACCAGTTGAAGTTGCTATTGAAGTTATTGAAAAATGGGAAAAAGATGCTAAAGACCATGCTGAGGCATTAGATACAGCTGAAGAATGAAAAGATAGGCAAAAAGGGCTTTTGAATGATGAAATCAAAGCCCAAGCATTAATGTTAAAAAAATCTGGTAAGATGCTTGAAGAAGAGATAGAAAAAATGCAAAGTTACAAGAGGAGTCAGAAGAGAAATCAAAAATGTTAGTGAAAAGTGAAGAAAGAGAAGAAGAGATAAACAGACAACTATATTTGGAAAGAAAACCCTTGCCTGCTCTACCTAAAAAGTGGAATACTTTCCAAAATTAGGTTCAAGAATTAAAACCAAATTCCAAAAACTTCAACAATTAGTAGAAAATAAAAAACATCAAACCCAAGAATTTACTGCTCAAATAGAAATAAAAGTTAATTAGTTTACTTTATGAGAGAATTACTTTACACTATTTTGGAGTTAGAAGAATGACATAGCAGTAATTCTACTTATGTTTTTTGTTCTGGTTTAAAAAAAGCAGTTTGTCAAATCAGAACCCAAAGCAAAATGACTGGTGAAATGATTGTAAGTGATAAGGCTTGTGAAAGTTGTAAAGAGGAGTTTGAAATGATGAGTTGCCTAAATGTAGTTGTGGAAGGTTAAAGAATAGATATACTTGTGATTGTAAAGAAGAGGAAAATGAAAAAGAGCTTCCTCTTTTACCTCACCAGAATGGAGGGGTGGCATTTTTTTATAAACAGCAAATTGAGAAGAGCTAAATATAACTGAGACAGAAATAGACACACATTTGGAAGCCTTAGAATTTGCCAAAGATTGACACAAAAGACAAAAACAAGAATTATTGGATCGAATTAAGCAATTAGAATTAGAGAATGGTAACTATAAAGACAAAATTAAAAAATTAAAAACACAGTTAGAACAGTTAACTTCTCAACAGCAAGTTGCTCAAATTGAAGTTAAAAAATGATCTTGATTGAAAATAAGAAAGTAATTGAGGAAATTTCCCTCTGTATAAATTGAAATTCATTCTAACTATCAAAGAAAACAATAGTTATTTTCCTTTTAAAGATTTTTGCTTTTTATTAGGTAATAATGCATCACCATGATGTTTTCTTTTTCCAACATTTATTATTTTTCTTCCTTCTTGATAAATTTCATAAGTAATCCTTTCCTTTCTTAGATAAGTTTCCAGTGCTTGAGTATCATTTATTTTGAAAATGTAAGGAGCAATTTTTTCACCTTGCTCCTTTTTCAAAATACTTCTAATGGTGCTGTGATTCTTTGGTTCCATGGTAGACCTAATGTAAATTAGCTTCATATTAACTATTTTTATATAGGAGCAGTTCTATATATCACTTAACAAATGAGACATTATAAAACTGTTAATTATGATCACATTACAAATGACTAAATTTTGATCCCTGAAATTCTTGGTAATACCAATGTTCACTTTGTCTGGTTTTGTTGCAGCATGCCCCATATTGGATCTTCTAAGAACATTGCCTACTTCAAAAATCCGAAATGATCCCAGTGAAATCACATTAATTACAAATAATCTGGACAGGATAATGAAAGGACTTTTTCATGATCCAGACAAGACCTTAGTACAATGGCCTAATACTGAATTACACGAAAGCAAAATAAGAAACTTAGCCAGTAGAGCAAAGCAGCCTGATTTCACAGTTTCTTTAATACATCAACAACAAATTGATTCAGTGATTTTTGTTGGAGAAGTAAGTCCACCTTCTGAAAGAAATAATGTTTTCAAAAATTCAAATGATTTGATCCAGTTAGGTACTTTTATGAAGGATTGTATGGACTCATCCATAGCTAAAGGTGCAGATATTGAAATATTAGGATTTCAATGCATTGAGTATACTGTGGATTTTTATGTGATGGATTTAGCTGGTAGGGCTACTTACACAATGTCACATCTAGGACAAATCAAGATTCCTGCAGATTTCAAAGATATTTATTCATTCATTGATGATATAGGATTGCTATTAGGAATAAAAGATATCTTTACAAGATCGTTTAATAATTTTTATGAAAAGCTTCGTGTACCAAGTCAATTGGAAATAAAACCTACATTGAAGAAAAAAACATTAAGCACTGAAGAATTTGAGAAGTTGGTCAGTAAAACAAGAGAAAAAGGTTGTGTCCATTGTGGTATGGAAGTGTTTAAAGGATTTTTCTTTCTCATTATATATTATTTTGATTTTAATTGTTTTTACTTCATCTGAAAATTTGTGTTGTCTAAATAATAAGTTTTTATTATAAAAAGTTAATCTTTCTTGCTTAGTTTAGATTTTTAATAATTTAGTTAAACATTGAATATTTAGTAATCTGAGGCTATGGATATTGAGATTATCTGTTAATTAATATATATCTAATTTTTTAGTTGTTTTTAACAATTTCATTTTAAATATGCCTTTATTTGTTATAATAATGACAAATTGATTGTTAGCTTAAAATAAAAAATTGTAAATACAATTAATAATGATGATTAAATTTGATCCCTGAAATCCTTGTAAGACCAATGTTCACTTTGTCTGGTTTTGTTGCAACATGCCCCATATGAAATTACACTCAGTGACATGTCCCATGACTGATATGATAACAACACAGCGTAAACCTAAAGTTTGCGCGATTATTTACACGTGATTTATTGCAAGAATGGGCTATGTAATACCCTTGCAAGACATAGCGTACTTATTGGTAATAAGCGTGGTCATTGAACAGGCACACCTTGCCAAAAGCAGCACACGGGAAACAAATCTTAAGGACAAGGGCTTAATCTCAGCAGATCGTAACACAAAG